ACAGAATAGTCAAAATACAGAAATATAAAACTAAATGAAATTTGTACTCCATTACTACTGAAAAAGTACTAAAATAAGTTCTAAACAGCTGAGAATTAACTACTAAACTTGCAGAAATTAAAGTTCCTAAATGCTATAAAATATGAAAATCAAAAGAAAGCTAGTGAAAACTAAATTCCTAAACTCCTCTTATGCATCCTCTTCATTTGAACTCTCTTCTTCTTTATCATCTTTTTCTTCACTCTCATTATTTTATTCCATTTCAGCTCTTGGGGGAGTGTTGAAGCAGGTGTTGAAGAGAGGTAGATTGTTGAATGTGGTGGCTCTTAGGCATTGAACATTTTCTACTTCTAACTCATAAAGTTGCTCTTTTGTCATGCCCATCTTTTTACCAATGTTCAACATTATATTTTCCATCAACAGGATTCCAGCCTTGTTGCTCTCATGTAAGGCATTTTGCCTTCAGCCAAGGAGTCTTGTCTGTCCAAAATTTTTGCAATTGAGCTTTGAGTTTGAGAGGAAAATCCTTCTTAAACTTGGTAGGAATTGGTGAGGCAGCAGTGACTGGTGTGGTGGCATATATTTTCTTTATCATAGTTGCTATAATAGGAGGATTGGCCTTACTCTGCTTATAATATTCCCCAAAATTTACTCCAGCATCTTCACAAAGCAGAGTAATCAACCCTAGAAATCCCAATGAGTCCCTTTTTATTTTCAGAATTGTTTTCATGCAGCTGTTGATCACTTCTCCCACATTGATGTAGAAATCACTCACTATGGCAAAAATGTATTTTAGGTTAAAAAAAATTTGAGTTTGCAAAAAGTTCTTTTTAAGTTAAAAGAAAATAGGTTTTTCTTAGGTTTGCAAGAAAAGAAGAATTTTTAGGTTAGGAAAAAATCAGGATTTGCCAAAAAAAGAAATTCAAATATGAACAAGAGAGAAAACTCAAAGAAAAAAAATAAAGAAGATCAAAACCAAAAACAAACAAACAACATAATAGTTCTTATTTGATCCGACACGTAAAAACAAATTAATTCTCTTCGGTGTTTGTTTTAGGGTTCTTGATTGAATCTCTTATTCAACTACTTAGATTTGTTCTTTCTAACAGACCGAGTGTTTTAAGAATTTTTTTAGTATTCTTAGAACGTTGATTTCTCTCTTACTTGATCTTTCTTCTCAAATTGGTTTTCATCTTTTTCTCCCAAATTCTCTTTCTTTTTTCTTTCTTTCCCTTTGAAGATATAATCAATTGTCAAACGTGAGTTAAAATAATATAATCTTAATTACTATAGCATGAGGCAAGCAACCAGATTCGTCTCTTAAGCATTATCAAAGCAATTTATCAAAATAAAAATTTAAACGGGAGACTTTAACAAAAATCAATAGAGCGAAATTTAAAATTAGAGGAGATAATCAATCAATTAAATTAAAATGTGGATGCAATTAACTTGAAGAAAAAAATATATTAAACATTATCAATCCACAGAATCTCAAATGCATGTAATTCCAATTATCATAGTATCTAAAGATTTTAATCTGAATTTAAACAATTACTCAATCCAATTATTAATTCAATCGATTAACCTAATTGAACAAGATCACGAGTTAAATCAAATTATCATTTAACCTAATCTGAATTTAATTATCAAATTAGAATATCAAATGAATCCTAATTTGAATTCTAACCACAAAAAAGTTAATCATAATTACAATTCACAAATCTAAGATTAGAGAAAAAGAGAACAAAGTCAGAGTAATTAATCCAAAACTCAAATCAGACTTACACTATTTGAATTCCGCAAATTGAATGAGAGGTTTAGCCTTCCATCAAAACACTTAACCCAAGCGAGAATGAGAGAAAGATGACAAAAATCGAGAAAAGGTAAAATAAGGATTCTTATTAAGAGTCAAATCTTAAAAACTCAAAATATCAAATTACACACTTAATTTAGAGTCTCATTGGTTTATTTATAGGCTTTTATTAAGGTAAACTAAATGGCCAAAATTTGGGCCTCAATTATAACTATAAGCCCAAATACAATTATTTAATTACAAGGGTCCAACTACAATCTTGCAACAAGTTTCAACAAATATGCCTCAACTTCAAAAAATCATAAAAATATCAAAAATAACTCCAAATCCAGCAATCTATATATAAATTTTGAAGCCCTAGATGTGTAAAATCTAATGCAACTAGAATCAGACAAAAAGTATATCGGTAGAATAAGTTATGACCAAAAGAGTAGTTAGAGGTTAGAATAATCAAAAATACCAAATTAAAGCATTTATTTATAACAAGCCTAATTTATTCAAATAAATAGAAAATGATAAAAAAATCTAAAAATAAGGCATATGAAAAGGGTTTAGAAATCAAAATAAAATTATAAATATAAACATAAAATATGTTACATCACTTATTTCTAGATAAGGAGAATTATTTTGAATCCTAGTTTGTGTGTATGTGTGTGTGTATGTGTGTGTTTATTGATCTAGAAAGGACTGAATTTATTTTATTCTAAGTAGCAAATTTACAGAGTTTTCTTGAAATAATATGATGAGAATGGATGTTTGATCTAAACACATTCACATCCCCAGTGTATCGTTGAACTATTCATAACTTTCAACATATTCAAACACATTCACAATCGCATTAACATGCCATTCACACGCATTTCCCACCATTTAGATTATTCAACATCAAGCGATGACATACTAACACATAATTTCATCCACAATCTCAATCACATTACAATATTCACTTTCACACACATGACACGTATGCCCACGTCCAATCACACAACACATAAACATCCAATTTCCTAGAACCTCACCACAATCAAGTCATTCCACACTCACACATATTCAATATTCATTTCATCAAGCTTAATCAAGAATCTTTTATCAAATCACACTTATTCCTACATTATATCTCACCCACATTGTAAATTATAGCAAATATTTGAATTCAAAACAAATGGAGATAGGGTAGAGTCCCCTTTTACCTCAAATTGAAGACCCTCTCGCTACAGCAAGACTGTCCCTGCAGCACCCTCCATCATCATTCATGCTCTCATACGCTTCCACATCATCACATATACTCAAACCATGCATCTAAACACCACATATATATATATATATATATATATATATATATACATCCAAACAATAACTCACTTATTAATAATAAATAATTTACAAAACTCGGGGCATTACACAATTAGCAGGGGAGATGTGGTTCTGTAATCTTGTGTGTATTGGTGACCTTGGGTCCAACTTGATGACTCGTCCATTGAGGTGTATGATTGAACTCCTTGAAGCGATGCATTACCTCTGATTGATTTTCTTGTGGCCGCCATCCTTGTGTAAATATAGGGTGGGAACTGCTCTTAGAACTAAACATAATTACAAATTATTTTGGGAGACACCTTGCGTTCCATAGGTGTTAATCATTGCATCCGGATTGAAACGAAGATTACTTCATAGTAAATGAATATGCAAGAATGTCAAGATGATGTTATTAAGTAAAAATAAAATAAATAAAAAAAATACGTTATGCACGTTAACTCTCTTATTCACCACATGTAGTTTACATACCCAAGCATGCAAAAGAGACCTTATATGTTACCTCGTGCACAAAAGTGTGAGGTGCTTAAATGAGCCATTGGAGTCCATGTTTAGGGGCGTTATATAGCGTCTCTATCTTTATATGCTTTAAATTGTTAACTCTTTTGTACCAATGTTATTTTGAGTCTTATGCAATATAAATTTATCAAAAGAAATTTTAATCTTTTTATTAAGTAATTATATTATTTAATTAATTCAAATATATTTATTCTTTTTATTAAATAGATTTATTTTTGTATGTTAAATTTTCTTAAGTTATATATTTAATTTTGATAAATTAAATAACCAAACTTTTGTTTATTATTTCTCCATTTTATCATACAAATTTTTTAACGTTAATGTGTAATTTATATTGTCTTCAATTATTCAATAAATCATAAGAAATTTATGTATAAATTACCTTATCTTAAATTCTCTTTCAATATAAATCTTCAAATTCAAGTATAAATTTAAATTCTTATTTTTTTATTTATTTACAATCTCCTATACGATTCGTTACAAATGCTTTTTGACAAGCATTTGCTGCAATAGGACGTGTGAACCAAAAACCTATTAATAAATAAGAACACATTCCAACCAATTTCCAAAAAATATAAATTTGTATCAAATTCGAGCTAGTAACTAAACCCAACATTGAAATATTAAAAAAAGTAATATAAGCAAAAAATCTCAAATATCCTTGATCATGAGACATATAATTATCACTATAAATAAGAACCAGAATGCCAACAGTAGTAATTAAAATTGACATAATAGAAGTAAGTGAATCGATCAAGTATCCAAACTCTAAAGAAAGATCATTATTTATGAATGTGCAATGTACCTGTGTGATTTTTCTTCACTTTTCATATTGTTTATCATAAGATACGTGTATAACAACGTTAGTTTTTGTATTATAATTTTATAAAAATATTTATAATTTTAAAATAAACTTTTTTTTACTAAATTTAATATAATCAACTAGTTTCTTAATCTTTTAGATAGAATTAGTGACTTTGAGTTTTTTATTGTATCTAGAGATTCGTAAAAACAGAAACTAGACTCATTAAATTAAAATAATTTTTAAAATAATTTTTTTAAATATTAATTAATATTTTAATAAATAATTTATCTTTTTTAAAATAAAAATAAAAATAATTATTATTTAAAAATTAAATAAATATTTTTAAAATTAAAATAAATTTACACTATTAATTTAAAATATTTATTATTTAAATAAAAAGTGATAATAAAATGAAGAAATGAGTAAGTTAATGCACCTTTTCAACCGCTTTAAATCCGTTTTCAAGAGCCAGATCATAGACTTCCTATATATCATAAACCAACATTAGTATTTTCTCTGGCTTCTAGTTTCATTGCTACGTCATGGCAAAAAATGAAGAAGAAAAACTTCTTCACATAGTGATGTTTCCATGGCTAGCTTTTGGTCACATATTCCCATACCTTGAGTTGGCCAAACTCATAGCTCAAAGGGGTCACCACGTTAGCTTTGTATCCACCCCAAGAAACATACAACGCCTTCCCAAACTCCCACCAAACTTGGCTCCTCTCATCAAATTCGTGAATCTTCCACTGCCCATGGGGGATAACCTCCCAGAAAATGCAGAGGCCACAATCGATGTTCCATACGACGTCGTTCCACTCCTAAAACAAGCCTACGATGGCCTCCAAGAGCCGTTGACCCGTTTTCTCGAATCTTCCAAAGCTGATTGGATGTTCTACGACTTCGCTGCATTCTGGGCGGGCTCTGTGGCTTCCAAAATGGGTATAAAGAGCGTGTTTTACAGCATTTTTTCTGCTCCTTGCATGGGATTCATGGGATCTGCTTCTTTTCTCCTGGGTGCTGAGCAATCTTCACGGAAAAAACTTGAAGATTTCACCGTTCCTCCGCCATGGGTCCCTTTTCCGACAACCGTTGCATGTCATTTATTTGAAATCACGCGGTCTTTCGAAGGTTTCTCCGACAATGCCACGGGGGTTTCAGACACGGACAGGTTCGCTGTAAGCATCCAAAACTGCGATTTCGTGGTAGTTAGAGGGTGCACCAAGTTCGAGCCGGAGTGGTTTCAAGTGCTGGAGAACATTTACCAGAAACCGGTTATCCCAGTTGGTCAATTACCCAGCACAGGGTTTGACGACGGCGACAAGAATGACACGTGGCAGTGTATGAAAGATTGGTTGGACAAACAAGCGCGTGGCAGTGTGGTGTACGTGGCGTTTGGAAGTGAAATGAAACCGAATCAAGAAGAAGTCACGGAGATAGCTCTCGGGTTGGAGAAATCGAAGCTTCCATTTTTGTGGGTTTTGAGGCTTCAACGTGGGCCTTGGGACCCAGATGTGCTGCAGTTACCAGAAGGGTTCGAGGAGCGAACCCAAGGGCGCGGAGTGGTGTGCACCACCTGGGCCCCACAACTGAAAATATTGGGCCACGTGGCTATTGGTGGGTTCATGACTCACGCTGGTTGTTCCTCTGTTGTGGAGGCTGTTCAGACAGAGAAGCCGTTGATTTTGTTAACGTTTCTTGTGGACCAAGGATTGAACGCAAGGGTGTTAGAGGAGAAGAAGATGGGGTACACGGTGCCCAGGAACGAGCGAGATGGATCGTTCACGAGTGACACGGTCGCTGACTCTGTGAGGCTGGTTATGGTTGACGAAGAGGGAAGGATCTATAGGGAAAAGATTAAAGAGCTGAAGGATTCATTCATGGATAAGGAAAGACAAGAAAGGTATATTGATGAGTTGCTGCACTACCTTGGAACCCTGTCCAAATGTTAATCTCCTTGATGATTTGATTCTGAGCATCCCTAATAAATATTTTATATACTAATTAAAAAATTAATTTTTAAAATATATTATCCGGATTTTGTCCTCTCCTGCTCATTATTGTCTACCGCTTCATTGCTCCTAATATATTTACATGGGTGAAAAAGATATTCCATATATCTTGACTTTGTTATTACAATGTGGACTTTTTTATTTAAATAATATTTTTTTTAAAATAAATTACTAAATTATAATTTTTTTAAATTATTTTTTGATTGAGGTGATTTTAGTCGTATATCATAAGTTTCGTCATAATTATTAATAAAATTTTTATTTATAAATTTTTTAAAAAATAAGTTTTGCTAATGAAAATGTAAAATTTATAATTTTATTTTTTAAAATGAGTTTTACCATAAATATGTAAAATTTATAAAATTTTTACATGGTTCAAATTATCATTAATTTTATAATTATAATAAATTATTTATTAAAAAAAAAAGTTTTGCCATGTATATGACAAAATTGATTGTTAAAAAAAAAATAAAAAATACTGAAATCTAAATTAACCGTATGGAGCCACCTTTAATCTTTTAGCTTTAATGGATAATACTGGTTGATCCTCCAAGTGACTAAGTAGTACGGAGAGTTAGCCCACTTTTTGAATCAATGTCCGCCTTCTTGTTACCGTTTACCTTCTTATCGCCGAGTTATTATCAATATATAAGGCTTTATTTTATTATTTAGTTTGACTTAGCTATCCTCTATTAAAATAGTATTGCAGGGGCTAGGATCATAGTTTCCATTTACTCAACAATCTTATCGCAAGAGTAAAGAGTGGGGTTAATTGCAGATTGGCTTTAAGGCTTAAAGCCATTAATTGTCCTTGGATTATTCAAATGTCAAGGTCCTAAGTAAGGATAGAAAGTCTTATTAATTCTAATGCTTATCTTTAAGTCTTTCTAGTTATCTTTAAGTCTTTCCAGTTACCATCACCTCCTGGCTACACAAATAGGAAAAAAAAATACAAAAGCAATGAATATCTTGTTTTCTTGGCTCCATTAACAATCGAAGGTCAAGGCGAAATGCAACGTGAATCTTTTTTTTTTTTTTTTTTTAACCAGTTTTGTCATCTATGTAGCGAAACTTTTTAAAAAAATTTTAAATAAATAATTTATTATAATTATAAAATTAATTATAATTTGATACGTGTAAAAATTTTATAAGTTTTACATATTTGATAGCAAAACTCATTTTAAAAAATAAAAAAAATTATAAATTTTACATTTTTACTAGCAAAACTTATTTTTTAAAATTTAAAAATAAAAATTTTACTAATAATTATAGTGAAACTCATGACACGTAACCAAACTTATTTCAGATAAAGAAATACTTTTAAAAAAATTATAATTTAGTAATTTATTTTAAAAAAATATTATTTAAATATAAAAACTTCACAATATGATGAGTTAGATAAATTACTATTCTTTTATAACGTTTTATAATTATTTTCAATCGATATTTTTTTTCATATTTCTTATTTTGTTTGAAATCCGTGCTTCTTATTTTCAATACAGTACTAGTTAATTCAAATTGTCTCTAAATACTTTTAAATTAACAAATTTTGTCTCAACTTTCAATTTAGTTTTTTTCTTCATGTTTGAAGGTTTATCAAACTTTAGATGTTTATTTTGTTCCCCATTCCCTGTTAAAACAAATTAAAGTCAAACAAATATGTAAACGTTAATAAAGAAGAGAAATTAAGATAGTTAAATTAAATTTTTAAAAAAAATGTATTTTTGAATACATACCCTCTTCATGGTTGTACTCCCACTCTATTTGGTGTCCATTCCCTCCTCCTTACGGTGTAGCACATTCTTTCCCGTTCTCTTTCAAAACTTATGATTGTTGTTCAATTTTTATTTCATTTTATGCAATATTTATTTAAATGAATCTACTCGATTAAACATAAATTATATTTTTGTTTAACTGAAATTATATTCATTTAAGTGAAAAGAAAGTTATACGTCCTCTTTTTAGGTAAATTCGAATTCATGTTTTAATTCATAAATTTATTTTCTTTCGTATGCACAATTCATACGCAATTTCTCTCTCGAGGATTAGAATATGCTTCTTTACACCCAACTTTCGCACTTTTGATAACTATACCTCTGCTTAAGCTTTTGCTTAACTCTTGTTTTTCAACCTTTTTGTCATGGTAAATCTACTTCAATTCATTCTTCGTCGATCACAGTTTACGTATCTGAATCTGAGATTGAAGGTTGCTTCACAATCATCATATTGATTTAATGTATAAATCATATTCCCAAACGTAAGATAACATTTATCATATTCCCAAATTATTTTTTTTACGTTATTAATTATACAATTAACGTATTTTCTAGTTATAGTTTTCGTAAATTTGAAAATTTACATAAATAAAAAATGAAAAGTTTAAAAAATTTAAATAAAATAAATTCATATTTATGAATACTATATATATATATATAATTAGTTTATTCATATAAATAAACAAGAAAGAAAAAAAGAATTTCTTGTCCTAGTCTCGAGGTCCACTTCTATTTTACCCTTTGTGCTGGTGCTAACGCTGGCATTGGCACTGGCACCACTAGGGATGGAAACAGGTCAAATCGCTTGACAGGAGCTTGTGGTCTAGTCTGGTTTAGTCCTGCCCTGACCTGACCTTTTTAATAAACAAATCAGGTTTAGGCTTTTTTTAAGGCATGTTTAAGTAAATAAGCCAAGCCTAAGCTATTTATAAAGCCTGTTAAGCCTGACAGGTCGGCCTGTATAAATATATATATATATATATATATATATATATTATAATTTAAAAATAAAGTTGTCAACATATTTAAATAATTAAGTTATTTAATAATATATTTTTTATATTTTTAATTCTGTTATTATTAAATTAATATATTATGTTATAATTTTATTTATTTATAATTATAATAAACAGAAATTATGTTCTATTAAAAATTAAAAATATTTATACATTATTACACTTTTTAAATAATAAATTTATTTAATAATAAATTATTACATTTATTATATTTAAACAATTTAAAGAATAGTTAAGTTTTTAACAGGAATAAGATATTATCAAAACTAAATGAAATAAAATTTAAAAATAAAATAATAAAATTATATTAACATATTTTTTATACTCTTAATTTTATTATTATTAATTTAATTATTTAATTACTATATTAATATATTATGTTATAATTCTTTTTATTTTTAATAAATAGAAATTACTTAAATCTGAATTATATTTTATTTGAAAGTAAAAATTTATAAAAAAAATGATAACAAAATAAAATAAAAAATTTATTATAATATATATATATATATATATAATCAGATCATGTAGCAAATAATATAAATAATATAATTATAAATAAATTATATAATAATATATATTTTTGTAACTTGCACGTGTTTTAATTAAATTATTAGTTAATTTATCAATTTATATGTAATATATAAGTATGTGTTTTAATTTATTGTATCAGTGACAATTTCTATATTACATTAATGTTATATTGTAGTTAATTTTACGTTTATTTGTTAATTTAAAATAACAAATTAATAAAATAAATAAAATTAAATATTTTGTAATTATTTTTTTTAATTTGATTGTTATTATTGTTGTCATTATATATATATAGTACATTAATTTTAAATTTTTATATTAAATTTTACCACATTTTTTTTAATTAAGAGAAAAATTTAGAAATACAAGTTATTTTAATTTAAATATAAATTTTAATAATTCTTCCTATGCTCATATGTTATTTTTCTGCATTTATGAATTTTATAATATAAATATTTTTTATCTACAATTTTTATAATGACAATATTTATTTATTTTTTAAAATATAATAATTTTTTTAGCTGATTCAATAAATTTTGTAAGTGTTATTTTTTGTTATCAATTTTATGTGTTTACTGTAATTTTATTTATTAAATATAAGATGTCTTTATACAAACAAAATATAATTATCATAAAAAATAATTAAATATTTAATAAACTTATAAAATTAAATTGAAAAAAATAAAAATATAAAAATTTTATAATATGAAAATATTTATAATTAATAATCAAATAATATTTTAAAAATTATTTATAAAAATTATTACAATTATTTAATAGTTATCAATAACACAAATAAAAATTTGAATATATAAACTAATTTGATAATAAAATAATTATATTTTTATTAATATTATTCAATAACAACAATAATTATAAATTTTAATATCATACAAATTTTATTTTATTTTTATATATTTTCTTAAGCAATTTTATTGGTATAAAATTTATAATAAAAAATTTCAGTGATTGTATTTACTACATCACAACAAATCAGAAACCTAACACAACTACATATCTCTGAGCTAAAGCTGCTATCGCACTTATTTTTTATTCTTGTTTTATTATTACCTATAGTTACTTTGAATATAAATATAAAGTAAATTATTATATTTGTTTGAATAAGCTAAAGAGTAGCAAAGTCTTCGAATAAGATTAGAACGCAATCAAAATTAAAGAAACTAATATTTAAAAATAAAATAATATTATTATATTAATTTATCTTTTATATTCTTAATTTTATTATTATTAATATTTAATTATTATATTAATATATTATGTTATAATTTTTTATTTATAATAAATAAAAATTATATTATATTCGAAACTAAAAATATTTATACACGATTACATGTGTTTAAAAAATAAATTTATTTAATTATAAATTATTATATTTGTTATATTTAAACAAGCTGAAGAAGAATAAGATACGATCAAAACTAAACGAATTAAAATTTAAAAATAAAATATTAATATTTTTTTAATAAATTTATCATATTTTTAATTTTATTATTATTAATATTTAATTATTATATTAATATATTAAGTTATAATTTTTTATATTTATAATAAATAGAAATTGCTTAAATATAAATTATATTTTATTTGAAAGGAA